CCCCCCCCCCCCCAGCCAGGAGCTCCGGAGCGGCGGCAGCGCCGATCTTCGCCGAGGGCGAGGCCTGCCGAGCAGCCTGGCAGAAGGCAGCGGCTGGCTACGATGCTCCCGATGCCCACCTGGAGATCCTGGGCAAGCCGGTGATGGAGCGCTGGGAGACTCCCTACATGCACTCCCTCGCGAATGTGGCTGCCTCCAAGGGTAACAGGGACCCCTCCCCCGGGGTCGGGGATGTGCCCTGGAGTGCAGCTGAGACAGGGGGAGTGGGCAGCACCCCTGAGAGAGAGTAATGTTGTGCTGGGGCACCCCAGTGGATGTGCTCCCCACGCAGTGGTGATGGCAGCAGGGCTGTGGTGGCACTTGTGTGCTCGTGTCAGGGTGACACGTTCCCAAAGGGAATGGGGAGCAGGAAGGAGTGCAGACACCTCCCATACAGGACCTGCTGCTTTTGGGGCTGTTTCCCACGTGGTGGTGGTGGGAGGGTTTGGCAGTGCCACTGTAGGACATTGCGTGTCCCTGCTGTGGTCACCTGGAGGGGTTTGGTGGGGGCAAAGAGCCACTGTGGGGGGCAGCAGGTGATGGGGACACAGGGCTGCTCCCATTTCTCCCCCCAGTGCCATGTACTTCCAACCCTCTCAAAAAAAGCTCAATTCAGGGAAATATTAGGGCAGGATTTGGGTCTGCGGGGCTTGGAAGAAGAGAACCTGCAGGGCTCTGTGTGTGCTGGGTGTCCCTGGGGAGGCACAGCCCTCCAACTGCCCCCTGCCCGCAGGGGGCCGCGTGCTGGAGGTGGGATTTGGCATGGCCATCGCTGCCACCAAGGTGCAGCAGCTGGACATCGAGGAGCACTGGATCATCGAGTGCAACGAGGGCGTCTTCCAGCGCCTGCAGCAGTGGGCAAAGACGCAGCCACACAAGGTCAGGGTGTGCTCTGTGAGGGTTTGGGGCCAGGGGGTGCCTCCTCCAACCCACAGCTCACCCCTCTGCCCCTCTGCCCACAGGTGGTGCCTCTGAAGGGGCTGTGGGAGGACGTGGTGCCAGCGCTGCCCGATGGGCACTTTAGTGGTGAGACATTGCCAGTGGGACTGGGAAGGGGCAGCTGGGGGGTCCACATGGTGGGGTGGGGTTTCCACAACAGGATAGGGGTCCCTATGGCAGAGTGGGGGTCCCTACAGCAGAGTGAGAATGCCCATAGCAGGGTGGGGGTCCCTGTGGCAGGGTAG